TGTATGATGGCCCCGAACCACTGAGTGTGTTTAAGGTTAACGTTAAGATCTTGAACATGATACGAAAGTGTACAGGAATCCAGTGTAGCCGGGCCAGAATAGAAGTGATATGACAGCGACGATCAGAGCCAATTAGAAAACGAGCAGCGGCGTACTGGACTCATTGTAGCCGTCTAAGGTGGCAGTCGTTAGTGCCAACTAGGACGGAGTTGACGTAGCCAATGCGAGTTGTTATGAAGGCGTGCATGACCGACTCAAGGTGTTGTCTCTTGAGGATTGGCTTGAGTCTGGAGATGTGGCGAACATGATAGAAGCATGATCGGACTATGGCATTGACTTGTGGCGACATTGTCAAGTCAGAGTCAAGTTTCACGCCGAGGTTGGTGACACAGTTGGTAAGAGAAATAGAGGCAAGGTGGAGTTTTTTTGGATTAAAAATAATATCTTCAGTTTTGTTGTGATTGAGTTTGAGGAAATTTGAGTCCAGCCACTTTTGGACCTCTAGAAGGCAGTCGTGCAGTTTGATTGACGAGGAACTGAAGTTAAGGGAGAGGTATAGTTGACAATCATTCGCGTAAAGGTGGTATTTAATCCCATGGTTTGTTAGGACAGTATCCAGAGGGAGCATGTAAATGGTAAATAACAGTTGGCCAAGAATGGTGCCCTGGGGAACACCCCACGGAAGCTGTGATTTTTCAGTGGAGAATTTATCATGACACACCCTGACGCTACAGTCTCGGAGGTAGGAAGTTAACCATAACAGTGGTGTTCCTGAAATCCCAGCCCATGAAGCTAACTTGTCAACCAGTACTGAATGGTCAACAATGTCAAAGGTGCTGTTTCAGTACTGAATTTATTATGAAAACCAAATTGAAAAGGGTCCCAGAGATTGTAGTCATCCAGGTGTTGTGTTAGCTGTGGGTGGACGAATTTTTCTAGATTTTTTTAAATGACAGGAAGTTTTAAGATTGGCTTGTATCTAGGGGTGTAACGGTTCATGGGGCTTATTCGAACCATTTCGGTTAGGGAAGTTCGATTCGGTCCACTTGCGTACCGTTTCGGTTTATTTTGTTCTGTTAAATAATGAAATTTTCACATATTTGCGTGATTTAAGTGCAGCAGATAGAAGTTCCTCGGCTAGTTTCTGCATGGACGCTGTATTGAGTTGAGATGCATGACGGCTGCACGCGCCTGGTCTCCGTTTAAAAAATGTAATCTGCAAATTCTGATCGTCTTTCAGAGCGGATCAAACCAGTTGAATGTAGCTGCTCTAATGGAGTCTGTGTAGAGACTCTGAACAGAGCATCGTGTCGCCTCTCCCGCCCTTCTCTCACAGTGTGCAGGTACGCAGCAGCAAACATGTAAACAAACATGTCTGCTGAACTTTTATTTAATTTACATCTATTAAATCTTATTTTATTTCTTCTGGAAAAGGGGCAGAAATTATAAGATGTTTTTCTTCATTCTGCTCCTTTTCGTTCAAATTAGATTTTTTGTTGTTATATATATATCTTATTATTTATATGTTTTATTTGCTTTTATTTTGAATGAAATAAATGAATTAAGAATAAGTAGATAAATAAATAACTAAATAAATAAGAAAACTTTTCAGCTGTGACAACTGATGTAATTTTTTCATCTTAAAATGAAAAATACGGTGCGGAGGACGCTCATTATTTAAAACAGTTTTAAAGAAGAAACTCTGGGCGGTGTAAGGTGAGTTTTTAAGAAATAAAAACACGTCAAACACAACACTCTTCTGTATGAGAGTGTGCTGCGCAAATCATAGACATGAATACACAGACGCCCCATTGGGTACTGGAGAGTGTAACAGCGTCACCGCCATGTTGGATGGGTCTCCTCACTCTCCAAAATCAATGCAGAGTGAGCAATTATGCCCGTTTCTGTGTAGCCTATGGTTACAACAACCAGCGTACTATTGAAAACAGATCACGTGGGATTACTAGTGACTTTTCGAGCCTACCAGATAGGAATTTATAATTAAAATATATTTTTATTTGATTATATTTTAATTATCATGCCGTACCTTGAGTTTGATTTTGTGATAAAGCTTGATAAAACGTGTTTTTTAGTTGGGTAAGCGCCTTGCTCAGTAGAAATGAATGCACTCGGGGCTAATCTATCTAAAGTGGTGGTCGGCCATTAAGACATCTCCAGTAGACAGCGTCAGTCCGAGGGGCATCTACATATATATGTCTGTGGCGCAAATAACCTGTGAAATAATTAAATACATCATGCTAGATTAGCAGCCTGTGATGACACCTGGTCTTCTCACTCACTATAGGAGCTGCTTCAGACATTAAATTTCAATTTCAATTTATTTTATTTTTTCATTTAAAAGGAAAAAGAAAGAATACAATAAAACAGAATGTCAATTATAGTAACCAAAAAGGTGTAGGCTGAAGCCTAGCTTTTTATGCCTACCCTATTTACTCAATCACATTACTTATCATGAAAAAATGACAAAGAAAGATAAAAGTATTGTAGTGATAAAAATGAAAATAAGATACAAGTAATAAAAATGCTAATCATCATTGAAATATAGTGAACAACAACAAACATAATTCAGCAAGAGGAAAAATACACAAAACTAAAGACAGAACTACACAAAACTATCAGTAATCGAAATAAATCGATGTATGATATAGATCAAAACTGAAATTTGAATTCTATCACTTGTGCAAGAACATTACATTTTCATTATTTATCAGACACACTAGACCACATATGGTCATTATGGTAGTATGACATCATCTTATTGACGTACATTTTTTTGAATGGTTTAACAGTGTTACATGCGCTGATTCCAGTGTCCAAGTTATTCCATAATTTGACTCCTACTGCAGTACAACTCTGACTCCTAGCATTTGTTCTTACTTTCTCTCTCACAAATTGTCCTTCCCCCCTTAGATCATACTGAATTTCTTTGACCTGGAATAGCTTCTGAATACAGTCCGGAAATATTTTATTTTGTACTTTATAGATTACTTGTGCTGTTTGGAGTTTGACCAGATCTGTAAATTTTAATATTTTTAGTTTTATAAACAGGGAGAGTGTTGGTGCATGGTAATCAGAGTTTGTAATTACTCTTATTGCCCTCTTCTGTAATAAAACTATGGGTGCTATCTGAGATTTGTAAGTTTTCCCCAGACTTCCAGACAATACATCATGTGAGGAAGTACTAATGATTGGTATAAAAGTAATAAGGATTTCCCATTTAGAATGTGTTTCGATTTATTTAAGACTGCAATAATTTTAGACATCCTAGTTTTTACATTTTCTATGTGCGGCTTCCAACTCAGCCTTTGGTGTATTGTCACACCCAAGAATTTAATTTTATTTACTCTTTCTATTTCTACCCCATTTATTATTAATTTAGGAAGATTCTTTAGTTTTTGTTTTCCAAATATAATGTATTTAGTTTTGCTTAGATTTCATGATAATTTGTTACTGTCAAACCAGGTCTTTAGTATTTCTAGTTGACTTCCAACGATATTCAGTAGTTGTTCTATGTCTTTCCCTGTGATATACATATTGGTATCATCTGCAAAGAGAATATAATTCAATTGACTAGTTACTTTATTGATGTCATTTATGTAAAGTGTGAATAACTTGGGTCCTAACACTGAACCTTGAGGTACCCCACAGGACACTTGTTTTGTAGATGATTTTACATTTCCAATTTCCAATAAATAAATAAATCTAATAATAATGTACCGAAAATTAATCAAACCGAACTCTTCAAAACACTGAACCAAACCGAATACACCCCTACCTGTATCCAGTAAATAACATGAGCCGCTATCATTACCATTATCATCATCATCATCATTATCATCATTCATTTTGTAAAGCACTTTGAGTAGCACTTTGCTTGAAAAGTGCTTTATAAATAAATTCTGATTGATTGATTGATTATAGCGTACATTTAAAATCCAGCATGAGAGCTGATCAAAGTGCTTCACATGCAAATAGAGAAAATAATAATCATAAAATCAATATAGAGCAATAAAAACACAGATAAAATGTGAAAACAGAAGCAGCCCAAGGACAGAGCCCTGCAGCACACCCCATGGTAGAAGAAGAGAGGTAGATGTACAGTCCCCAAGCTGGACATTAATTGAACGGTTAGCTAGATAAGAACAAAACCATTTCAGGGCAGTCCCCGTCCCTCCCACCCACAACCCAAGCCGGTCCAATCAGCCATGACATAAGCAGCCAATTGGGACATATACTTTTTTTTGGTTCCACCTGGACTAGCCATTAGCTTATCCATCTACCCAGAAAGAAACTTTATTTCTTCAAACTGAGGTTGTTCAAAACTGCAAAATTCACTTTGATAAATCCAAACCATTGGCTCAGGTCAAACATGACTGGAGTAAACAAACATGCTGGAGATGTGTATTTTTAAAGTTTTTTTGGTTTTATTTTATGTCATGTTACTTTATTACTTTGTGTTAATTTTGTCATAGCTTCTGCCTCTTTTTAGTTACCAGGTTATGCAATTCTGTGTTTCTTTACATTAATCCTGTTTTGATTGTGTTCCGTTTTTTCTTTAGTTTCTGTCAGGACTTCTCCTTCCCTCATCTCCCTAGTCACTGATCACATTCACCTGCATCTCATTAACTCACCTGTCCCTGTTTAGCAGTCAGCTCCCTCCCTGCTTTCATTCACTTGTCTCAGATCCTCCTGTTGTGCCCCATCATCTTCATGGTAACAAGCTCGTAAAGATTTTATCCCAAAATACGAAATATTGGAAATAAAATAAAATAAAAAAACTCCTGATATTCTCATTTTATTATCTCATTATACTTTGATTAGCCAATTTAACCACAGCTCTTTGAGAGTGTTGTCTGTTTTTGTAGTAATAACAGTATTACACACACACACACACACTGATAAGTTACAACAAAGAAAAATAAATCTGGGGGCAAAGCTGTATTTATTTAGCTTTAGTTCACGTTGAGACTTTTCCTTACCTCGTTTGGAAAAAAAGGTCCTAATATCGAGTAGCAGATCATTGAGCTGAAGTTAACAGAAGCTATTGATATTAGTGTGAGAGTTTGTGTTCTAGTCATCCTCCTGGGACGGTCTGATGATGATTCGGCTGAAGTTGGGATTTCTAACAGAAAAGGGAAAAGAAACAAATGATTTAACATTAAGTAATCACAAAAATAAATTTTCTTTTAAACAAAGCTAAATTGTTTTCCTCTCTAATTAATAACCAATAAGTGACTAACTCCAGGTTCACCCATTTATTAGGCGGATGAAACGTCACTAACCTGTTCGCTGAGCGTCAGCTTGCACGTCCATACTTCTAAACTCTTAAAAGTTATTGTCCTGTTGGAAAAATTTGTCGTTTGGTTGTATAATAAACAGAAGAACTTCAAAATTGTCAGACGGTCAAAAAAGCGTTAGCAACTTGGTCAGGAACGAGGAACTCCGCCGCGAATAATATTAAATCTATGTGTGACCATTTCCTCAATGCTGCTTTCAAAATAAACGTTTTGTGATGTAACTTCCGGTGTCTTCTCCAGCTGCGGGCCTACAAAACAAAAGTCCCAGGGACAGAAGTCGCTTATTGAAATAATGCAAACTGCTACTCCAGATTTTTACAAAGAACTTTGTCAACTAATATTTTAAAGTTGCTTTCTACATCTTGTGCTGTTGGAACAAATATTTACATTTATACAGTACAGAACACATCTGCTTTATAAAAAGTTACACTAAGAACTGATAACCTCCAAGCTGCTCTTGGGATACCTTCTACTGGGCCCTTGACATGGGAAATGAATTAAGGGTAAAAAAGCCAATATGCGTCATGACTTTGTTGTCTGTTTTTATTGATGTATTTATTTGTTTATTTATTTATGTCAGTTTTTTTTTTCAAACATTAATGTCGGGAAAGTTTAATCATCCGTTCTGTTAAAGTGACAATGTGTAGTTTTTACCATTAATCTCTGGAAATATCAACTGAAATGTTGTAAATGAAAGATGCCCAGTTGTTGAAAAATATTGGCAGTTTCATAACAAATAACCATAAAAATCGGGTCTAAAATACACAGGAGCGGGTCTAAGGGTGTTTCTCAATGCCAAGGAATATTGCCTTGATGTCTTGGCCCCGCCCTGGTTTCCTAGGAGATACGTCATCGGGAGCCGCCAAGACGTGTTCCAACGTTAATGTTGTATCGAGGCGTGTGTTCTCCGTTTGTTAGCCGTTAGCTGAGCAAAGATACACGAGAGGTGTCTTGTAGCCTAGCCTTGGTCAAAAATGACCCAGAATACACCGCAGTATTTTCAAAAGGACGGCGGATCAGAAGCCGGCAGCTACATCGGGGACAATTTTCAAGTTTAAAAGTAAGTCAACTAATTTAAAATGTTTTTTTTAGATCCAAAGAAATTATCTATTGTTGGTTAGTTACCTAGTAGTTGCACCTTTGGTGGCTAGCAGGTAGTAACTCATTTAAATATTTAATTTAATAAAGATATACACAATTTAAAAAGTCTCATTATATATTTATATTGAAACTAATACGTACAAAACATAGCGTTATCTCCCGCATCACGTGACGTTACGTGACCGCCGTGGAAGCCGCGGTCATGTGATGCAAGTCTGTTCCATTTAACCGTTTTCTTTGACCAAGGACGGACAGTGTCCTTGTAAGCAAGGCGCCTGGCCTCACAAGACATTGCCTCGCAAGGCCAGGCGCCTTGACATTGAGAAACACCCCAAGTCTCTGGGCGACGCCACATTGGATGCCATGTTTCCTTCTACTGAAGCCTGTGAGGACAGAATGCAATTACTGATTTGTAACAAATGGTTACAAAACTTTTAGCATTAATAAATGTTGTTCTGTTACATATTTACATCCTCACTCATTGCCAGTGATGAAAGGGAGTCTGATGTTCTTGTTATTTTGCTGGAGGTTGCACTCCCAGGGATTTTTGACCCTAATAGCCGTCTGTTGCATAGACTGTAGGTATGTTGGTAAGGCCTTACTTGAACACAAAAGTAATGCTTGCTTGCCATGATTTAGGTATGTACTGCCCCCTATCGCCAAGGAAAATATACACTGTCACAACTCAACTCATCTCATCATTTCAGCCTAAAATAAATTTTTGGAACACAGAAACTGCTGCATACTTTAATTTCAAGTTAAAGAATAAAGTAGATTTTTTAAATATTTTCTATTGATTGAAAAATGATAAACTGATAAAATATTATATTCTTGTTTTGACAATTCTGCAAAGCAGATTGACAGATTAGAAATAAAAGAAACCCAACAAAAATATGGAGAACAATAGATTTTATTTCATTCTGACAACCTATTATCATTTCAGTTTCATTTTCATCACTGAGAAAAATTACAATCTGGCTGCAAACTGTTCTTTAGGCAGTATTGCTGATGTCTGGCACACACTGTTGCTAAAGTTGCCTTGAAGGGATAAAAAGCTCTCAAATAAAATCTCTGCATTTTCTTAATATATTTTTGCTTTAAAATAATCTGAATAAAATATGATAAATGTTCAAACAAGAACTTATTTTTTTATACATTAGCACCAAATTTACATGAATCTCACTCCTACAAACAATTCACCTCAAAAACGTCATTTGAAAATGTATATTTTCTATTTTTTTACTTCTGCATATGTAACATCACAAAACATTTGGTGCAGTGTTAAAGCAAAGAGGGAGAAATGATTAAACTTAGCAAACAATAAGCACTTTTTCCAAGCATCTAATGAGGATGTAGGGTAATTTTCTAAATGCACAGTGCAAAGCAGCTTCATCTTTTGTTTTGCGAGTACAACATCAGTTCTGTGTCTGTAGCTTTATTGCACACAAGCTCTAACAGTTCAAAGCAGCACTGATTTCCAAATAGACAAACTATATTACTTCACAACCAAATGCAGAGCTCAGGGAGCATCATAAACATCCAGCAAAAACGATTCAGAGTGGATCAAGTGAGACTGTGACCTTAATCTGTTATGTATAAAATAACTAATAATGTATTTTGGCCAAATACAGCTACCTACGTTTGGCACTTAGACGTAATAAATACCATTACTGACTGTCTCAACCAGCACAAAGGGGAATTTTGAAATCAAAGAGGAAAAGAAATATATGTACAGGTTTGAAAATTATTTTTAAATTTACATTTATAGTAGTGTATTCAAAGTAAAATGGCAAACATCTCTCATTAAACCTCTTCATAGAAGTAACATGGATAGAACAATAATGATACAAAATATGAAATCAAATCTAAACCTTTTTTTTATCATAATCTGTCATCTGCAAAAGGATTTCAGTGCACCAAGACATTAAAATCCCAATAACACATCTAAAGCATGTATTTATTTATTACTTGAAGCTAAATGTATAAAGTGCAGTGTTTTAGCGTCTCCTGTGGCTAAGACTCCAGGACTATTTTGGTTGCCTTCAGATGTCTTTTAGCACATTTGCATTGTTTATTTTTATTTCCATCACTAATGTAAATAGTCTAATTTGCAATAAATATGTTTTCTTTGACACTTGATAACAAAAAGACCCAAATTCACCAACGGACTGTACATCGGTTGTTGGGTTAGGGTTAGTTCATTCACGAAGCCCTTGCCATCTCTCTGGGATGGGGCAGTTTGCACTGGTTTAAATGAGCTATAAAGATTAAAGCTAAATTAAAGTCTGCCCATTTCATGCCAATTGATTTAATTATTGCAAAAAATATTAATCATCTCCAGGTGCTATTTGCATCTCAAGGAAAGAAACAGCAAAAGATGCTATCAGATGCACTGTTGCTTTAATAAAAATATGGTAGGCATGTCAGAAAAAACATAACGTATCTTCTCTTTTAGTCATGAGCAACCAAGCATCCATTTTAGGAAATTTAATAAAAGCAGGGAAGAGGACTGCTATTACAAAACCATTCAGAGTGGGTACGGAAAGTATTCAGACCCCCGAACATTTTTCACTTTGTTATATTGCAGCTATTTGCTAAAATCAATTACAATTACAACTTCCTGCTGAGGCTAGGGCGATATTTCATTGGTTGCTGTTTTTATTTAAAAGTGATCATTTTAACTTTCCTTCTTATTTACCCACTTTATTAATACCATTCTTGTTATAATATACACAGAGCTTGTCTTACTTCGTTTGTGGTTCCTTGTTTTAAAACTGAATCAGGGAAGCTGGCCTTTTCTGTTAAAGCTTCAACTGGTTGGAACAATTTACCTGTTGTTTTAAGGCCGACCCTGGTCTATGAACATTTATTACCCACCTGCATTTGTTTTTGAATTTATATTATAATACCCAAATTAATTTTATCTAAAACTCCTCTGTCCTGTATAATTTGTCTCTGCACCAGTTTGTTGCACCTGTTTTTATGTTGTCTATCTGTGATTATTGAATATTTACGTGAAAGTATTTTGGTATGTATGATCACACAATTTATTCTATTTGATTAGTTTTACTTTCTTTGATTTTAATTTTGTTTTGTTTTTGTTTATTTACTTTTTAAAGTTGTGGTAGTATTACTTTTTCCACATTGTCATTTTATTTTGAATTGAAATTATTGTTTCGTTATCTTGGCTTTTTATTTACATTTTTGTTTCCAAGAGGATCCACTTCAAAACTTTCATCTCATGTGGGTTTATCCTCTTGAAATATAAGTTATTAAATAAATAAACACATTGATTAAATTCATTTTTTCCCTCATTAATGTAGACACAGCACCCCGTATTGACAGAAAAACACAGGATTTCAGAAATGTCTGCAAGTATTTAGACTTTTTGCTGTGACCCTCATATTTAAATGGGTGCTTTCCATTTCTTCTGATCATCATTGAGATGGTCCTACACCTTCATTGGAGTCCAGTTGTGTTTGATTATACTGATTGGACTTGATTAGGAAAGCCACACATCTGTCTATATAAGACCTACATGAGAACCATGAGGTCAAAGGAACTGCTTGAAGAGCTCGGAGACAGAATTGTGACAACGCACAGATCTGGCCAAGGTTACAAAAACGTCTCTGCTGCACTTAAGGTTCCTAAGAGAACAGTGGCCTCCATAATCTCTAAATGGAAGATGTTCAGGATGACCAAAACCTTTCCCAGAGCAGGCTGTTCAGCCAAACTGAGCTACCGGGGAGAAGAGTCTTGGTGAGAGAGGTAAAGAAGAACCCAGAGATCACTGTGGCTGAGCTCCAGAGATGCAGTCAGGAGATGGGAGAAAGTTGTAGAAAGTCATCCATCACTGCAGCCCTTCACCAGTCAGGGCTTTATGGCAGAGTGGCCCGTTGGAAGCCTCTCCTCAGTGCAAGACACATGAAAGCCCGCGTGGAGTTAAGTAAAAGACACCTGAAGGACCCAGAGATGTTGAGAAGTAAGATTCTCCAGGCTGATGAGACAAGATAGAACTTTTTGGTCTTAATTCTAAGTGGTATGTGTGAAGAAAACCAGGCACTGCTCTTCACTTGTCCAGTACAGTCCCCACAGTGAAGCATGGTGGTAGCAGCATCATGCTGTGAGGGTGTTTTTCATCTGCAGGGACAGGACAACTGGTTGCAATCAAGGGGACGATGAATGTGGCCAAGTACAGGGATATCATGGACAAGAACCTTCTCCAGAGTACTCAGGACCTCAGACTGGACCGAAGGTTTACTTTCCAACATGACAATGACCCTAAGCACACAGCTGAAATAATGGAGTGGCCCAGCTAAAGCCCTGTCTTAAACCCAGTTGAGCATCTCTGGAGAGACCTAAAGATGGCTGTCCACCAACGTTCACCATCCAACCTGACAGAACTGGAGAGGATCTGCAAGGAGGACTGGAGGAGGATCCCCAAATCCAGGCATAAGAAATTTGTTGCATCTTTACCAAGAAGACTCATGGCTGTATCAGCTCAAAAGGGCGTTTCTACTAAATACTGAACAAAGGCTCTGAATACTTAGGACCATGTGATATTTCAGTTTGTCTGTTTTAATAAATCTGCAGAAATTACTAAAATTCTGTCAATATGGAGTGCCGTGTACAATAATGAGGGAACAATTGTTTTAATATATTTTAGCAAATGGTTGCAATATAAAAAAAGTGAAATTGATGGGATCTGAATAATTTCCCTACCCACTTCAGATTCTGCAGTCAGATGCAAAGTGCTCAAACCTGCTGCTATGTGATTTATCCGTGGATGTTATTAGCCCAGGTTTTAATAGTTCCTGCACCTCATTGGTGAATCTGGGTCCAAATATTCAGACTTCTTTGAAAAATGAAAGCAACATACATGCATTTGATATGATGCATGTTTGAAACATTTATCTTTATTCTGATAACATTTTTAATAAAATTTTTAATAACTATAATTATCTACAATAGTATTATTAAACTAAAACATTTATGAATTGGGGCTGACTCATTAGTTTACTCACTTAATGATAATTTGCCTTTAACCCACTGATCTGCACCTAAAATGGATTTCCTCAATAAAAAAATCAATAGAATATAATAATGGGGGGAAAAAACAGACATTTACTCTACTGTAGTCTCACACATCAGAATGCTAAATGAACAACACTGGACAATCTCATCATTTGAGCCTCTGGGTCACATTGGCCAAGGCGACGGCAAAAGCCTGCACCGCTGAGAAAGGATACTGGAAATCCAGGATGTACGCATTCCCGTCTATTCGGCCAAACTGCATCACCTACAGGAACACGAGAAGACATTTGAGCATGCAGAATTAAGGAAAACACTTTAGTAAGTTCTTCCTGATTAAATTAGTCTGATCTTTTTAGGATTCATAGAAGAACATGCTAAAAATACAAAGTAAAGCATGAAGGTTTTGTTTCAAAAGCAACAAAATCCAATAATCAGGTGGTGATTTTAAAAAGCGTACATTCGAACTGAGCTCGTGTTTAGGGAATTTTAAAGACACGAGGAAGGCTGTTCACATTACCTGCCGACCGTCCAGCTCGATCTGAAAATTTTTTGCTGACTCCTGAGTAACTCGACCTCCAAAGTCCAGCTGATAGACCTGAGTGGCCTCGTTCCACAGCGGCTGTTTATTGGCCATGACGTAGACAAATCCCTGGCTGCCTAAGCTGCGGTCCTCTCTCTCGTTTGCCTTGCGGCACTTTATCTCCTCCAGCTCACTTGCCATCCGCATGCTCCTCTTGTTCTTCCAGGTCTTCTTACTGCTCTGGTTCTGGTTCATGAGTTCGTCTCCACTGATAAACAGCTCTGGTTCACTTTCGGAGCTATCCTGGAACTCGTTGGTTGTCCTGCTCATTTTCTTGGTTTTATTCAGTTGCTCTCTCTGCCCCTTGGGCTTCTTTTTCTCCCTGCTGCTGAGCCTTGGGCTGGAAATGAGACTATTGAAGTCAGAGAGTGCTCTGCCTTCCTTTTTCGATCTGCTCTCTGAAACTGTGGACATGTTGGCCTCCTCGGCCCTGCTGTCCAGTCGTTTGCGGCTCTTCTTGCTGAAGCGCTCTGACTCCTGTGGGTTTGGGCTTTCATTCAGGGACGACAGCTCTGGAAAGTTGTTGGCAGACCCTGCAAGATCTTCTGTGGCACTTTTTGATGGTGGCAGCTCAGTGGGTGGAGGGGGAGGGGGTAAAGGAGGTGGTGGAGGTGGAACAGTAGGGGGAGGTGGGGAGAGTATTGGTTTCTCTAATATCTGGTGAGTTTTGGTTGGCAGAGGAGGTGCTGGAGGATCTTGCATGGGTGGGGGGCAGGGGTAAGGGTTCCAGGGATGTAAGCTAACTGGGTGCAGCTGGAGTCCAGCACAGGAAGCAGCTCCTGGATACAGCGGAGGGAGGGGACAGCAGGCCAAGTTAGCTAGATTAGGAGGATAGCCTGGTGGCAAAACCATCATCGGGTCCTGCTGAGCAAAAGGTACTGGAGGAACCGCTTCATTTGGAGGTGGAGGAGTCTGGAGTGGAGGTCCGCCGTGGCCCACGCTTGGAGGGAAAGGTGACAGGGATATCTGGTAGCCTGATGGGAAAGTGAGAGTGCTCGTGTTCAGGCTGGTTGGAGGCTTTGTTGTGAGGACAAACGGAAGCCGAGTCATGTCCAAGTGCTGAGCCTGGCTGATAATGAGCGGAGGTGGTTTAGGATTTCCTGGTGGGGGAGCTATGATCGTTTGTTCTGGAGTCAGCCAGAAGTCCTCTGTGGTGGAGGTGTCCCACTGGTAAGGCGGAGGGTGTTTAACCGTCAAACTGCCATCACCCAGAGTCAACTGACGAGCAGATTTTTCAAGGTGACATTGCTGATTTAGAGTCTCATCCTCTGTGAAGGCAGAGTTCACATACACCCTTCTGTCTCGGCTGTTATCTACAGCGCCCAGTAGACTGTAAGATGACTGAGAGGCCATGGGCGAGGCACTTTTGGAGTGCACTATAATGGTGCTGTGGTGTGCACCTTTCTCAGGTGGGAAGTCTTGTCTCACCACTGTGCCACCTGCAATGCCACTGCTTGCAGTTCCACCTCCGCTCACACTGACACTGGTGCTGCTGCTGTTGCTGCTGCACTGTGTGCATGTGTACAATGCCGTGGGCACCCTCTGCTGGTAGGAAAGCGACAGTGCGCTGTTCATTTTAGCCTTGGTGGGAAGAGTTCTCGAGTTTTCCATCATCTGTGGCACTTTGAGTCCCACATCTCTGCGGTCCCGACGTAGCGTGGCATGAATCAGACTGCTGTCAATTCTTTGAGGAGGAGGAGGAGGAAGTGTAGCAGTCACCTGATTGGCTGGATCAGGGTAAGGAGGAGGGTCTCCACTTGGTATAGAATACCGAGGAACAGACAGACGACTTAATGTTGCTGAGGTATACGGAAGCTGAATTTTTTTGCTGTCTGTGGATGTGACTTTCAGTGTGGCAGAGCCACTGATGGTATGAACGGCATACGCATTCTGATTACGAATGTGTCGCCTGCGAGGCCTGCAGACCTCCTCCACATTCCCACTGCTGTCAAAGGTTGTGATCCGTTCATAACCGAGAGGTGTTGGATATTGTAAAGTGACAGGATGAAGCAAGAACTCGTCTTTCTTCAGGCAGGGGTCAGGCGCCAAAACGCTTGGGCTGTCGCAGTTTGTGATGAACGTTTGAGGAGGTGCGGCCGCTGAAGCTGCTGCAGCAGACACGACAGTCCCCGGGTAAGGAGGAGGAGGATTCACCTTTCTCATTTGGATCTCCACAGGTCCATCAGTGTCACTGAATGATGGGGGCAGAGTCCGCGGAAGACTTGGCTTCAGCGTGTGTCCATGGTCCCCTCTTTCAAGTGCAGGTTCAGTTGCAGGAGGAGGAATCTGTGGCAGAAGATGGATCTGCTGCAGAGATATAGTGGGATAGCTTGTTGGGGGTGGGGGCAAAGACATCTGCATCTTGAGTTGCTGCTGCATCTGTTGGTGTTGCCTTTGCATCTGTTGGTGTTGCTGTTGGATCTGCTGATGCTGCTGCTGGAGCTGCTGCTGCTGCTGCCTCATCTCCTGGATCTGCTGTCGGATTTGCTGCTGCTGCTGTTGCATCTGCTGCTGCTGCTGCTGCATCTGCTCCTGCTGCAGCTGCATCTGCTGCTGCTGTTGTTGGATATGCTGCTGCTGCTGAAGCTGATGGCTTGACACTGGCGTTGGGGCTTGTTGCATTTGTTGGTGCTGCTGCTGCACCTGCTGCTGCTGACGATGTAGCGTCTGCTGGTGGTGCAGCTGGTGTAGTTGTTGGTGTTGTTGTGGTTGCTGTGGCTGGGAGGACTGGTGGTGGTGGTGTTGCTGCTGCTGCAGTTGGTGCTGATGCATTTTCTGCTGCTGCTGCTGCGGTGCATGCAGTTGCTGTGACTGTTTGGACGACTGCTGGCGAGGCTGCTGAGAGTGAGACCTCTGAGAGTGAGGCTGAGGGGGGAGGTGGTGAGGTGGTGGTGGGGGTGGAAGTGTACCGGGGAGAAGAGGACCCATCTCTAACCCACTGAAGATCCCCTGACTAGGATTTGAGTATCTGGCTGGCACCGGGTATGGTGATGCAACGGCATCTTGGCTATGATCAGTGACAGGAACTGAGGCTGCCGCGGCTGCTACAGCTGTGGCTGTTGGGTTCGTCAGGACATCAAGCTGAATATTCTGATTGGCCAGGAGAGACTGAACCAGGCCGATGCTCTGAGTTGGAGACATAGCTTGAGCCGGGCTATGAATGGGAGCGATGGGAATGTTGACCGTACAGGGTGGGTTGTCTCCGGCTACCCCAGATGGTCCCATAACTTCATAAGAAGATAAAACAACATTTTACTGACATACATTACAACACACTCCTATATTCTGCGTACTGGTTATTCGTACCAGGCAAATCATCCTCATCCTCACTGAACACATTAGGGTTGAACACGGGCAGGCTCATAAAGTCATGAGAAATCTTTCGCACCTCTGGGAGGTAGATCGTCATTTGTCTCGGTTGCAGGTGAAGCAAACTGGTCTTGTAGATGACTGATGAAGAAAAATACACAAAAGACAAAAATGTATCAGCAGGAAAAGTCGAGCTTACAAGAAATTCTGGAGGAAGTTTACCTGCACCGAGGTTGGTAGGAAGAAAAGAGGCAAGTCCAACGATTTTAAACTTTGTTCCCCAAATGTTGGATGTGACTTGTGCAAGATAATTGTGCTGTGAAACAGAGAATGACAGATAAGATATTTATTTTTTATAACCCTTTTTATAGACCCCAACTTAAAAATACCTTAGCCAGTGCCTGCAGACTTAAATGGCACCTGAGTGGCCAGCTCTTTAGCCCTGTGATTTCTGCTCGATCATAGCACACGAGCAAATCTGCAACTCTTTCGTGTTCTTTTCTAGAAATTTCCTTTTTTTTCCATCGTTGTTTTTTAAAAAAACCCGTAAACTAAATCAGACTTTATGAGTTCCCAGCACATCACTACCTCTGAGATGTCCATCGTGAACTCTCTTCGTGTCAGACTAGGCGACCGAACTGGAGGCTTCTTTGTCGGTAACCGTGGCGACCGCTGACCTTCCTGATTGGCTCGTGAAAGCTTGGGGGATTTTCTTGACTCCATGTTTAACCTTTTAAAAGAAAACTGTTTGAATGTGTTGAAATAAGTGAGAAAACAATGCAAAAGCCTCATTCAGCTCAGTTAATTATTATTAATATGTATCCTGGCAAATAGCTTCAGGTAACCTGTTTCTTCGGGATAACTTTGGAGATTTCTTCCCGACCCACTCATCACTGAGGTCAATGTCGCTGGAGTCTGAGCAGTTACAGCTGTCAGTGTATGAGATCATGGAGTTCACACACACTTCCTCTGAAACAGCAAAAACACAAAAGCAGAATGGTAGATAGAGCAAACTCTTCCAAACTGTAAAAGCGTTGCCTTGTTCTGAACATTCCTGCCTGGTCTAAGCTCAGGCTGTTCCTGCATCAGGCCGCTGACTGTGCTACTTTAGAGAAGAGCCGTGTCTGTTCTTCGTCCAGGTGAATAATGAGCATGCAGCACCAACATAAAACGTCTCCACGCAGATCAATTTCCTCCCCATAGCTAAATGGTTTCTTTCCTTTATAAAACGTTTGAGTGCACGACAACTTTTTGAGCCCACCTGGCTTGCCGTCGGTTTTTGGATCCATAATGACAAACTCAGGTCTGAGTTTACTGATGCGCCTTCCTTTGAGAATGGGCACCAGCCCCCCTAAGTATTCAAGGTACAGGGTGTAGCAGGGTCCGCCCACCTCCGGACTATCCTCTGCTCGCTTCATGGTGCAGTGGAGCCTCTCATTCCCAGATGTGGGATAGCTGACGAAGTCACGGATGTTGTTGGGGTCAGGAATCGGGGGCTAAAACAAAGAGAGGAAAGAGCTGTAGGATTTCTGGATAATCAAATGACAACATGCCTCTGAAAGTGGATTTACTCGCACACAATCGCCTAGCTCACTTTGGGAACAGGGACAGATACACCTTGAAGGCATGTATGAAAGCTACCTGTCCCTGCTCAGCAAAAGGAAAGTTGTGTCTGCTCCTTAAATAATACCTTGATGGTGGGTATGAACGCAGTGGTGACATAAGAGCAGAGCAGCGAGGGCATATTTAGTTTCCCCACATCTTTCTCCTCTCGCAGGGCACTGGCGATCCCTTGCTGGCATAGGAGCTGGAGGCTAGCCACTCTGTGCTCTACACGGACCACGTAGAGCGCCGGTCCACACGACAGGAACAGGCGAGAGTCTCTGTGACCCCAGCAGATGTTGGTGATCGGTCTCTGCAACAGAGTCAAATTATTTCTCATAGTTATTATTTTTATTTCTCAGGTGCAATCATTGAACCATTCTGTTTCAATTTGACCTTTAATCTAGCTCCAAGAATGAAAATTTAAAGACAACAATGACAAACAACTTATTTAATGAATGAATTAATATGTCCTTCAAAAGTGCCCACTCTGTCTCTGTATGTGTTTCAGGTTGTCATCTAAATCTGCCTGAATTGTCCATCCAGTCTTTAACTGTTTTTTTGGGTTCACTAAGGTCAATTAGCTGTGGCAGACATGAGAGCTGAAGGTGCGGTGTGTATGAATGGAGTAATAGCGACATCATGTGGTCATATTCTGTAACGGCAACCACTCACTTTGTCCTGTTGCCAGTTGAACTGTTTAAAAAAATGTTTTATTCATAAAGAAAAAAAGGGCTTATGTATATATATATATATATATATATATATATATATATATATATATATATATATATATATATATATATATATATATACAGTTGGAGCAAAATAAAAAATAAACTAGAACTGCAAGCAGTTATCAACGGGTTCCAAGCCCCCAGCGCCAGTCGACCACCCGGCCCCGCCCTCAACTTCGCCGGTCCTCACGCGGTCCCGCCCCAAAAACACGTTCTCCCGCCGGCGTCCCGTCAGCTCACTTCAACCGGCGCAATGAAAGTAACACTCAGGATACCTCATTAAACCTGCAAAGCCTATACACATATCTTTCAGAGGCATGGCTGACTTCTCAATCGTGGTTACAATGGAATTCCACTGTTTCCTTATTAAAGAACGTGAAGATTTAATGAGTGACATTATCAAACAATGATCTATACATCAACAGAATATTACAAACAACATAAATACTTGATAATGTCTTTAGATTTAATTGATTTTCAACAAAAACAATGAGTTTCATTTTGTGACTTACTGACCCAATGTTTCAAAAAATCATGAAAAAAACATAACTCATCATAAAATTACCAAAATATTCTCACATGGCAGTGTTAACATGTGGAATAATATGATGTTGTTTTTAAATCAGTAGACTCAAAGCTTTTTTGAAGAAAAATTGGGAAATATAACTATAAAGGTCACAACAAAAATTCAAATATTAATAAAAAAATAGTGCTACTTTCTAAAATTAGGAGAAAAATCTCAGATCACCATAGGTACATGTGGAATGTTGTAAATGGCTTATATTTACTGTATACCTAAAAAAAACTTTCTAACAAAAATTAATTACGTTGTTGTCCAACTATACAGAAAAACTGGTAAAAAGTTAAAAATTCATTAAAAATCTATGCTTTTGTACAGAAATCTCAAAATATTCCCAGGTTGCCTCTGTGATGTGAGAATTCTTCTTATGTTTTTGTTGGGGTCATAAATGTAAAACTGTACTTACAATAAAATAATATTTGCATTAGTGGCTGTAGACAAAAATATGTCCTACAATTAAACACAAGGGGGAGCTCAAATCAATACGACATTTTTTTTCTTTCATAAACCACCTAAGAGTGAACTTTGTGGCAAATTACAAGAAGATTGTGAGAACAGAATTTGCGCTACAATTGCTAGCCTAAAAATGTATTTTCGTAAATATAAAGCGCAAACCTCTTCATGGAGCTGCGGCTTTCGTGACATAAGCTCTAGCCAATCCAATTGACACAATCTGGAAATCTTAGCCTCTTACATGCAAATTGTGATTTTTAGGGAATTTTTCAAATTTGAAATTTTAAATGATCATAAACCACGCCCACTTTGATCAATCATTACCATATTGATAATGTAGTCTTAAGACTCTATAGTGATGACAACCACTAAGTTTCGTGCAGATCCATTTAGCTGGTTCAGCAATATAATTTCTTCCCAGTTATAGCGCCCCCTATTGTTTAATCAAGTTGAAAACCAGGACATACACTTGAATTGACCTTAGGTATGGCTGTTATGAACAGCTTTGAAAAATGTCAAAGTCTTTTGAAGTTACGCTAAAAAAACTTTTTCATTCCCAAAAAATTATTTAAAAAAATCATATTAAAAAAAATAAGCAAATTATCGAAAATCCCTTCACATCTTTTGGTCAGCCGCTCCTCCTCTCTTGTCAGGGAAAGTTGTGATGTGATTGAGTTTGACGGCCGGGAGGAGTTAACGAAAGTACGTTGGACTTACTATGCAAATTTCTACTAATTTGCATAAGTTTAAAACATTTTTTAAAATACTCATCTAAATTTGACTGACTCAATGAACACACTGGATGAGATCATTTGTTTTTTTACGAAAGAAATGGGGAGAAACATGCCAAAAATATTTTTGGGGTACCACAGCGCCACCTATTGGACAAAATTCAAAAAAATGTCTGTGGTTGTAGATGTCACTATAACTGATAAGAATTGTAATTTTCTGTATAGAATATGTATTTTTCATGAGTAAAAGGGCGAAAATTTTTAAAGCCTATAAGCCACGCCCACTTTTTAATCATTTTCAAAATATAGCTTAAGGGTCCGATGATTAACATATCTGCCAAGTTCTGTGGAAATCCATCAAGCCGTTTAGCTGAAACAAACTTTTTGACTCTTTAGCGCCCCCTATTGGTGAATCCAAACAAAATGGGGTAGATAGGGCTTACCGCTCATCCTTCATAAGGGTCTAGAGTCTCATCAATTTATCTTGAGAAATGGTGAAGATATCATCAATTACCACATGTGCTAGCTAGCGCACTGATTTTGACATGGTGTCATTAGCCCAATTTTCAATATTTCTGCATTTTTCTTCATCACAACAACTTACCTTAGTCCACAGATCACATGTACGAAGGTTGAAGTTGATTCGACGAAAAATGTCGAATAGGTGATTAAAACTAAGTTTTGCATTTTTTGTGATCTAGCAAAAAATCTAGTTAGGCGGAAATGGGCGTGGCCAATACAAAAAAGATGGAGAATCAATCAAGGATCATGTACATATAAAGTTTTTGACTGTAGGACCTACGGTTTGGGAGCTAGTACCTCAAACGTGTTGACCTCCGCAATAGCGCCACCTAGGTGATGCGGGGTCCAAATTCTCGAATCTGAGTAGCGGGCAGGATTTTCTATCAGACTGCCATGTCAGATTTTCCCTGGCAATTTCAGGCTCTTGCGCCCATACAGACACAGCGGAGAAGAATAATAATAACTAGAACTGCAAGCAGTTATCAACGGGTTCCAAGCCCCCAGCGCCAGTCGACCACCCGGCCCCGCCCTCAACTTCGCCGGTCCTCACGCGGTCCCGCCCCAAAAACACGTTCTCCCGCCGGCGTCCCGTCAGCTCACTTCAACCGGCGCAATGAAAGTAACACTCAGGATACCTCATTAAACCTGCAAAGCCTATACACATATCTTTCAGAGGCATGGCTGACTTCTCAATCGTGGTTACAATGGAATTCCACTGTTTCCTTATTAAAGAACGTGAAGATTTAATGAGTGACATTATCAAACAATGATCTATACATCAACAGAATATTACAAACAACATAAATACTTGATAATGTCTTTAGATTTAATTGATTTTCAACAAAAACAATGAGTTTCATTTTGTGACTTACTGACCCAATGTTTCAAAAAATCATGAAAAAAACATAACTCATCATAAAATTACCAAAATATTCTCACATGGCAGTGTTAACATGTGGAATAATATGATGTTGTTTTTAAATCAGTAGACTCAAAGCTTTTTTGAAGAAAAATTGGGAAATATAACTATAAAGGTCACAACAAAAATTCAAATATTAATAAAAAAATAGTGCTACTTTCTAAAATTAGGAGAAAAATCTCAGATCACCATAGGTACATGTGGAATGTTGTAAATGGCTTATATTTACTGTATACCTAAAAAAAACTTTCTAACAAAAATTAATTACGTTGTTGTCCAACTATACAGAAAAACTGGTAAAAAGTTAAAAATTCATTAAAAATCTATGCTTTTGTACAGAAATCTCAAAATATTCCCAGGTTGCCTCTGTGATGTGAGAATTCTTCTTATGTTTTTGTTGGGGTCATAAATGTAAAACTGTACTTACAATAAAATAATATTTGCATTAGTGGCTGTAGACAAAAATATGTCCTACAATTAAACACAAGGGGGAGCTCAAATCAATACGACATTTTTTTTCTTTCATAAACCACCTAAGAGTGAACTTTGTGGCAAATTACAAGAAGATTGTGAGAACAGAATTTGCGCTACAATTGCTAGCCTAAAAATGTATTTTCGTAAATATAAAGCGCAAACCTCTTCATGGAGCTGCGGCTTTCGTGACATAAGCTCTAGCCAATCCAATTGACACAATCTGGAAATCTTAGCCTCTTACATGCAAATTGTGATTTTTAGGGAATTTTTCAAATTTGAAATTTTAAATGATCATAAACCACGCCCACTTTGATCAATCATTACCATATTGATAATGTAGTCTTAAGACTCTATAGTGATGACAACCACTAAGTTTCGTGCAGATCCATTTAGCTGGTTCAGCAATATAATTTCTTCCCAGTTATAGCGCCCCCTATTGTTTAATCAAGTTGAAAACCAGGACATACACTTGAATTGACCTTAGGTATGGCTGTTATGAACAGCTTTGAAAAATGTCAAAGTCTTTTGAAGTTACGCTAAAAAAACTTTTTCATTCCCAAAAAATTATTTAAAAAAATCATATTAAAAAAAATAAGCAAATTATCGAAAATCCCTTCACATCTTTTGGTCAGCCGCTCCTCCTCTCTTGTCAGGGAAAGTTGTGATGTGATTGAGTTTGACGGCCGGGAGGAGTTAACGAAAGTACGTTGGACTTACTATGCAAATTTCTACTAATTTGCATAAGTTTAAAACATTTTTTAAAATACTCATCTAAATTTGACTGACTCAATGAACACACTGGATGAGATCATTTGTTTTTTTACGAAAGAAATGGGGAGAAACATGCCAAAAATATTTTTGGGGTACCACAGCGCCACCTATTGGACAAAATTCAAA